GGAGCGGAGGGGGGCATAGCGCCCATGTTTTGGCCGGGCAGCTGTTAGTGATGAGCTTGTTGGACCGGGGAGAACATCTCGGCGCCACCGCAAAGCGCGGCCTCCCCTCGAGTTCCGCGACCGCTACGCCCCGCCCCGCCCTGCCAGCCACGCCCCGCCGCACCCCGCCACGCCCCGCCACGCCCGATGCGAGAGGACGGCCGACGATCCTCCAGGACTGCGGAGAAGAGCGGGGCCCGCTGCACGTGTAAGAGTGAAGTGAAGTACATCTGAGGGGCTGGGCGGGCCCTCCGCGCTGCTAGTGACACTCAGTGTGTGTAGCGAGTGGTGGACTTGGAGACGTTGCAGCGGCCGGCCGGGCCGAGCGCCATGCCACAGCTGCCGGCGACCAGGATGCCGGCGAGGACGGCCGACAACGGCGGGGACGGCGCCGAGTCGTTGAGGTAAAGAAACCGCACCGAACCAGCTCCCCGTCATGGACACGTACTGCCCGCTCGAGGCCACGGGCCCGGCCGGGGTGCCCGACGACGCCCTGCGCACGTTCATCGTGTCCAAGCTGGCCCTCGACGTGACGGTGTGCGCTCTCATCCTGGCCGGCAACGCGCTGACCATCTGTGCGCTCCTGCACCAGCGCTGGTGCCGCCGGGAGACGCTGTGTCCACGCTTCAAGGTCAGCTGCAACATTGTTTGCCTGTCATATTTTCAGGCAGGTCCATTCCATTGGTGGAAAAACTCTGAATTTTTGCACAGCATGTTGAACGTTGAGACTCCCCCACCCCCCTCCGTCCCGGGCAAATCTCAGAGGAAACGTCTGAAAGTAGAAAACATTGTGCAGACATCCGACGCTCCATCGCCCCGCTCGTCAATCGGCCCTAAAACCTAAAACATACCCGCTGCTGCTGAAGGAAAACAAATGTCAGAAACACTCGTGGGGGTCGAGTTGGCAACACTATCGTTCTGATTTGCTTTGTTCTTTAATCACTCGTGGGGTGCAATAACCATGATGGCGGGGCATCGTAAGAAAAGTTTATTCCGAACTCTTGATCACGTGTGATGTTGTTCCCCAGGTGTCGTCGCTGTTCGTCATGAACCTGGCCGTGGCGGACTTCCTCATCGGCTGCTCCGTGCTGTTCTTCCTCGTCTCGCACTACGTGTGCGCCATCTCCGAGTACATGTCTCGCCACCGCTTCTTCTGCCTCTTCAAGACGGCCACCTTCATGTTCTCGGGGGTCATCTCGGTGACGACGCTGGCCGCCATCTCCATCGACCGCTACGTGGCCGTGATCCACAGCCTGCGCTACCAGGAGTACATGACGCGCAGGTGAGGCGAGGGCGGGGCTGGGGGAGGAGGATTTACCAGAAAAATTTGGAACGGAAAAAAATTAATTGAAAAGTTTGAAATTTCCAGAAAAAAGGGAGAAAAATCAAACTTTGTCGCTAAAATATTTCGATTTTTAAAATAAATTCTTGAAACATTTCTCATAAATACTTTTGAGGAAAATTGAAACAACTAGGCAGGGCACATTGACCTTTCATGGGAAGGGCGATCCGAGGTCTGCTTTGCATGCCAGCTTCATCCGAAAGGGATATTCCCGGCCCGGCCTTCACTGCTCTCGCCCGGCTCTCGCTGGGCTGTCGCCCGGCTCGCGGACTCCCTACCAAATTTTCCGGGAGCCGCGAGGGTTTTCCCCGCGGGAGGCTACGCGACCTGAGGGGTCACCTCACCGGGCCGTTAAACAAACCTTGGACGCACGGGACGCTCACGGCTGCTACAGAGAAGGGGGGGGGGGGGCATGGAGTGCGAGAAAGAGCGAACGAGCTATCTTTCTCCACTATGGCTGGCACAAGACATTCCGGAAGAGTCGTCGACGGCGAATGTGTTGTGACCGCAAACAGAGAAAAGCGCTGCTGCGGCGGGCGTGGGCTGCGTACCTGAATCTACTGATGGCCGTAGTTTGATAAGCGACACAAATAGCCCATTTGCCGACGTGCTCATTTCCGAGTACGTACATGCGCGAGGCCGACCCCTGGTGCCGATGCCGATGGCGGTCCGGCTCTCACTGCTGGAGTAGGTCTGCGGATCAGCCTCGCCCAGACCAGGCCACCACAGACATGTGCACGGAATTTAGTTTAGTTTCAGGGGGTATGGAATTATTATTTTTTCAGTGCTCTCCAACTAAGTTCAAAGGTGATATGTACACATTCGTTTGTACCGGGTGTCATAGAGAATACGCGGCAGCTGGTTGTGTTGTGTTGCCTACGGCGGCCGCCTCCCGCCACCTCTTCCACTCCCCCCTCGCCCTCCGCGCCTGCACGCCAGTGCGTAGGCAACCCATCCAGCTGCCGCCTATTCTACCGGACACCCGGTATACACGCCATGGTAAAGTTGCCTCACCTAGAACAACTACAGAGGTTAAGAGTTAAATAATTTCCTGTCTAAACTGCCATGAAAGGAGCTCCCTGCGAGTGACTACGACTTTTCTTGATGTTTTTCCTCAATTTCTCATTATTTTTTTCTGATGTTTTTTTCTGACTTTTCCTAATTTTTTCTGACTTTATCTGATCGTAGGCGCGCGTGCTTCATCATCGCCCTGACGTGGCTGGTGGGGCTGCTGGGCGCCGGCAGCCTCTTCTTCTGGAACCACTTCGAGTACGGGCGGCCCTGCCTGGACACGGTCATCCCGCGCCGCCACATGGCGCTCATCGGCGTACCCATGCACGTGTCCGTGTTCACCATCATCCTGGTGGCGCACCTGCGCATTCGACAGGTATACCAATAGCTACACGAGCGATAACGAATTATTCGTCTGTGTAGCCAAAAATGTATCTACCGCTTTATTGCGAAAGTTTAAGCGACATACCTAAACTTTTAGCCAGATAGCTATGTTTTTGCGACATAGCTAAATCTGGTAGCCATACAATATCTAAATAATTAGTTATCCCCTAGTAAATCTATTGTCTAGCAGCACGTCTAATCTTGCCCGTGCCCCTTTTGCAGGAGATCAAGCGCATGCGCGCGCGGCGCAAGGTGCACGAGAAGTCCATCTGGGGCGCCCAGGTGCAGCGCAGCTCCATCAAGTCCATGCGCGCCGTGGTGCTCGTGGTGGGCTGCTACGTGGTGTGCTACGTGCCCTTCATGGCGCTGTTCGGCGCGCGACTCATGGGGCTGCGCGGCCCGGGGCTCGACCTGGCCTTCCAGTGCCTCTGCTCCGTGGCCAACCTCAACCCCATGCTCAACCCCTTCATCTACTCCTGGAAGAACGCCTCGGTGCGCACGGCACTGCGCCAGTTCATGGACAAGGTCATGTTCCTGCTGGGGGTGCACGACGGCCCGGACGCCATACGGAAGCTCCCCGCCGGCTCCAGCACCACGGCGACGAGCCTCAGCGGCGGCGGGGGCAGCGGCAGCGGCGTGGCCGTCATCTCCACGGCCAAGCACCTCGCCGTCGCCGCGCCCCGGGAGAAGTACGTGCCCTACGAGAACGTCATATGAGTGCGTTGTCTCACCACCTGCCCGCCCCCCCGCCCCGTGGGGCAAAGGCAGCCCCCTACCCCACTCTCCGAGCGCGCGCGAGTGAAAAGAGAGCGTACAGGCGTACGTGATGGAGGAGTGACTATGTTGAACGTGCACTAAACGTAAATTATGTTTTCAATAACGTGCTACTAGTCGTTACAGTTTTTACCACGTTCACAACCTAAACCCCCTGTCCCGCGCCTTTTTTCCGGGAACTTTGTGTGTATAGTTACGCGTTTGTCTATCACGACGTGGAAATAAATCATCCTAAGAACTCACATCCAGAAAATCTCGTCGTAGAATCATTTCGCTTTCCTGCTTACTTGCCTGCTGAGTTAGACGTCAGGGGGAGAGAGGGGGGCGAGGGAGGG